TTTGCTCCATTTCAAACAGTTTATTTTTTCTGCATGTGATACAATGAAGGATGTTACTGACAGGAGAGGTGGGCGTGCTGCATGAGGAAGAGCACGTATTCTGCGGAGGTGCGCGATTTCTCGCGCAGGTCGAAGAGCGCACAGTCGCGGCAGTCCAGCACATAGCCCAGCAGCGCCACCAACTGTGCCGTTGTTTCCGGGCTCTCCGACGCACGCGCCGCCATGCCCTCGTACACGTCGCAAATGCTGAGCAGTTTCATTATTTAATGTTAACATGTAGTGTCTGACGAGTGCATTCGTGCATAAGAATAATCACACTTTGAATAATCACACGTTGAAGGCGCAAATCAATATGAAATTTATTTTATTACGCTCTATTCCACTTCCTGTTCTGCAAGATGAAGTGGTCGACGATTTGCGTGCGCAGGCCGTTTACGATGGCCCACAGCGTGTCGTTGACTGGCGCGCAGTCCAGCAGCACCATGTTCAAGGGAATGTCGCGCCGCAGGAACAGGATCTCATCACGCAGCTCTTCATACATGTAGATACGTGCAGAGAAGTCCTACCGTGGACAAAATTATGCCTTAATTATAAAACACTAAATATGTTGATATACCAGTAAAAGACAGAAAAAGAAGAATAGGAGAAAAAGTTCATAACATTACAGGCAACTTAAGTTGTTGAAACTATACCTTTAAAAATGGCGGAGGTTCTTGACCAAAAAACAACATGAGGTCTTGTTGAGCCGTGCCGTCTAATAGATGAAAATATTCGGCGTAACGCTTGATGAAGTTCAAAGGTCCGGGCCGATTGACCTTGAAGTACCTCAACGTTTGGTTGATGATGTCCACCATGTAGCGTTCATCCGGGAACACGCAGTACAGGGTCGGTCTCGGACGTGTCACATCTGAAAATTCACGATTTAAATCATATTTAAGTTTAAAGATAACTTGATATTAAATAGGATATAATATTAAGATACCAGGATACATGATAGTGTCAACGCTGGGCAGGTTGCTGTTGACATTGATGATGTTGTGAAACCACTTGACTATCAGAACTCGCATCTGTTCGAGGCTGGGTTCGAAGTTGAGCTGCGTGCTCCCCGGCTGCGCAGTCACCTTGATGCGCAGCAGCGAGTTCTTGATGAACGTGTAATCTTTGTACTCCTCCCCGAAGTTGTTACCTTCCTAACATTAAACAACTTAATTTATATTTGCGTATGTTAAAATCTTGAGGACCAATTCGTTCAACTCACCCAATAGTATGCAAAATACTCGGCGAAATGTTTCACACTCCGCTCCACTAAATCTCGAATTTGTCTCGACATTAAACTATGGATACATCTGTATAAAATATAACATTTGATTAATGTAACTTAG